ACAACAAATTTTTCACGTGAAATTCCGTATTTTTCGCAGAAATGCGATACCACAGACTTCACCAATTCCGAACAGAATCCACGACGCCCTCGAATCATGAAGCGGATTGCGTCAGGTCACCGATTCGTTAAGCGGAGTTATCCCGATTTCCTCCCGATTCCCCCCGGAGCAATTCGGGAATAGATTCGAAACGACGAGTACCTAGCCCTACTGGGACTTTCTACCGTTTATTTGAAGATCTCCTATCGAACGCATGCCTATTGGCCGTTAGACACGATTCGCGGCAAGCTCGTCGCGCACTCCTCCGCGAGAACTTCAACTCGTCTCATCGGCCCACCACGTTCCAGGCGCTCGGAACTCGGAACATCCCCAGTCCCTACTTCCCTCATACCGCGCATGATCCTTACTGCATTCGAAAAACAATAAATGGGAGGACGAGAAGTACATATGGAAAAATACTAACGGCCCGCTGCGGGGGAGATTTATTGCTAGCTCGCCGGCTCGAGACAGCACCGCGCTTCCCGCGGCGCCACCCCGACATACTATCTGAATGTATTTCGAAGGGTACCGAATCCGAGAGTTGACGGCTCTATTTTCTGGCTCTTATTCTGCAAGTTCTGGAACCGGTTTCGGGATACCGGGCCCTCACCAATGGTCCCCTAAAAATTGGCCTCGAAATTAATTCAGTGACTTTGGCACTACCCTCGTCAGGACCCGGATGGGAGAGACAACGCATGATCTCGAGGCAATCGGTCGCCACAAGTACTGGTAGCCGTCGACGAAGTATTGGATTGCTTGCTCCTATGAGCAGGAAGTCACGTGTCATGTTGCCCGTGAGAGCGATCTGTTTGTATGCATCCAATGCTGATCGACCTTTCGTATCAGGCGCGGAATTCGGCACATCGTTGTTTGTTCTTCAAGATTCTTTCTGTACTACTTACTCCGGAAGCATTGTTCGCTCCTCCGTGGAGTCCGAGTCAGCACAGGAGTTCTTCCCCCTTTTATCGATGTCGTCGCGTTCGAAGATGATGTCGTCCATGGTCACCTCGTAGATGCTTAACCTGGAACAGAATTTGTCGGTTCCGAGCTACTCATGAGCGTGGCGAGCGAGCGACTCTGTTCCTGTCTTCCCGAGCTGCGAAGCTCTGTCTTCGGCTCCGCGTGTCGGTTTCGACTGTTTTTGGGAATTCTCTGGCGCGGAAGGAGGGAGCGCCCCTGCTTCGCCAACTTGAAGCCAAAAGGAATGACAGCTCCTAGGGCGAGGGCTGGGGCGACAGAGATGTCGGCCTCCTCTGCACTGCTTTGACTGAGTGAGCATGAATGCGCCTGTGTGTGAGCTGGCGCTGGAAATGGTTCAAGTTTATCACTCCGAGGTTCCACTCATACTGCTTTATCCACCAGAACACAGCCGTTTAAACTTACGATTGGAAGGCCGCGCCGCACGTCCTCCCGACGCCACGACTTGACACTCGTGTGCTTCAGTGTGCGACGCGCGGCTTCGAGATCTTCGCTTCGATTGAGTCGTAGAAAAGTAATTTTCCATGAAGGAAATGCCCTCAGTTGTTACTATCTCTCCTGAGCATTAATGAGTTTGATACTGCTACCTGGTTTCGGTGATTAGTCGACGAGAATCGCGGGATAATCGGTTCCGGTGTACATATAACCAGGGATCATGGAAGAGCGATCGGCTATGATCTACGGGAATAGCTCATCAGTGCGGATGCACGGAAGAACTTATCTCCATCCTCTCCATCTTCAGGCTGGTCTTGAACGGGTGCTTCTAGGTAGTTCTATCTCTCGAAACTCCGCCACATTTCGAGAAAACTAGAGTTTCGAGACTCTCGTTCTCATTGAAGCGTCAGGATTCAGGGTCCTGCACGCTCGAGACGTTCATAGCCGATGCTGTCATTCAGAGGGGAATCACCCTATCTCGAGCCGTATCTGGCCCAATTATTCCGCTTGGCGCCGCAGATCAAACTCGTGAGATTCATCCGGAAGAGTTCCCGTTTCTGAGCTGGTATCACTAAGTAGGTATGTGTCTGATCTCTCGCAAAGTCAAGGCACTTCAGAGAGGGGCGCTTCACTAGGACCGAAGAGGCTTCTACTCTGAAAGTCTGGTGCGGCGATACAGACTCGGTGTCTCCGCCGTTACGGAATACTGCTCGAAGTGGGCATCGGTATGCCGGAGCCCATCCGCGAATGCCTTATCTCTCTTCGATAGCCCGTGATGCTCGATTCGATAGGTGTTCGCAACGCAGCATGAGCGCCGATTCGTCGGGGGAGCGTGAATCGTCTGAGAGATGCGACTCACACTTGGCTCCCATTCATGCGCTGCGCGATTGCGCTCCACCCGAGAGCTGTTGTATCGGGGGCGGGGCGCGCTCAGAACTTCCGGTCGGAAAGGGGGTGATGCAAAATGGGTTTGAGTGGGAGGACATCGGTCGAAAATGATGACGCCCATCGTAACCCATGGACCAGCACTACGGCCTGAAGCTGCGGAGGGGACCTCTTGCCCCATACGCCCCTTCTCTCGGAGACATGAGGGAAAGCCATCAATGCCGGAACCTGACCAAGATTCTTTGAGACATGCACAGGAACAAGCGAAAATCGGTCGAACGTCGTCCGAAACGCTTCAAGATGAGCAGTTGGATGCTCTCCGGAGCAAAAAAACACGCAGTCCATGATTTTCGTCTCCGATAATTCCTTAGATATATATTTATTCTTTAGATATATTTTTTACAATTACAGTAGTTGTAGACACGCCATGGCACACTGTAGTAATTATTCGTATATTTTTCATAGCATCGCTACAGGGGCGCTAGACGTTTCCGACATCAATTCGAACGAAGACGGAGTAAGTATATCTAAATCAGCCCCGCCATACGATCGAAGTCGGAAAATTTTTTAAATCCTAGTTATCATGTCGAGCATTCGCCGCGGAGCCCATGAATCACTTGCTGGCAATGTTCTCATTGATTATCGCGGTGGACGTGGTGGAGTTGGTTCTAGCGCGGGAGAAGAAGAAGCGTCAGAAATATCGGCCGTCATACTGATAATGATGCTTGTAGTGGTTAGCAGCAGCATTCATACGGATAGCCATTCTAATGGTGGCGGCAGTTGTAATGGATCTAATTATAGTGAGAGCGCGCGACAAGAACCAATAAGAGGACACAGAACTGAATCATATCAACGTTGTTGTAGTTGTTGTTGCTGCATGGGATTATCACTATTGCTCAGCGCGAATCCGACGCGAGATCGACAACGACAGCATTTACACAATTCCTTCGAGACGTCCGCCTCCCACAGCAGGGCTCACATGAGTCCCAAACGCGACATCGCTGCTGGGTAGCTCTTTCATTCTCCCCGAGTGGGAAATCGTCAGCGATCTCGACTGGTGATTATGTTGGCGACCGGGTGCCAAGCAGAAACACTGGATGTCCAACAGTAGGATCGTTCCAGTTTCCCCGACCCTTCCCGGGTCTTCCTGCGCTGGAATCGAAATTCCGATCGAATGCTTCAACTAGCAGGAGATATTTTATACTTCGAATCGTTTCGGGGGAACTCTCGCTCCAGATTAGGATCGCGCTTGCTTTGTACAATTACCATGTGCAAGACTCCTCGCCCGAAAATCTCCTATCGATGTCATCATCAGTCGACTTCCGGAAAAAGAGGACCAAGATGTGCGATTTGATAGAATGGTTATTCCGATTGCTACTATGCATAATGGGATGAGCCGGTTCAGCGACTGGGACGCCTTGTCTCTTTGGCGTGATACCGAACGAAACGATCATTTCCTCGAATATAACGCTGAGAGGTGGATGCGGTTGACGGGGACTCAACTCGCGAGAGGCACGTAAGGGAAGCATAACAGCTCATATCGATAGCATCCACATAATTTGATCCACCACGGAGCGACCGCGGATTCTCACTCGGATAACCCTCTCGGATCATCCTCATCGACACCATATCGATGAAACTTCCGGCCTCGTGAACATGTCCGAGCCCAGGGCCAGCGGAGCAGTAAGAATCAACCCACAAGCATCCTCTGATGCTCTCTGGATTCTCGAATCACCGAAGATCTGATCTGGATTTGCGATTAGCGGATTCGTTGTGAAAATGCCGCTCCCTTACGATCGCAGACGGCGGGTCCGATTCGGAAACTCGGAATCTTCCACGGAGTTCACCCAAATCTGACTTCTGCTCCTCAGATTACGATCGCGATACCCTTTCGTCTCCAGGCTCAGTATTTCAATGAGCTGGTCCATTGCAAGCTGATCGAAGACACCCTATCCCATTCCTTCAGCTGAGAATGAACCCCCGTCGTGAGAGCTCGCGGCCGGGAGGGAATAGGCATCAATGATGCGAATGGTGCTCGAACGATGAGGCGAATGATCGTACAATTAGCCCCAACAGGAGCTTCGGTTTCTCGTGTCGACCAATCCCGCTCAACATTTGAGATCGTTTGTTATTGCTTAGACGGACGATTCTCGATATCATTCCGTCTATCGATCCCCGCAATCGTCGAGGGAGAGGTTATCCTGAATGACGTTGATTTTCCCTCGAAGTATTCTGCTTCGGAGATTCTCCAGGGTAAGGGCTCCTGCGCGCGAACGAGTTTGGTTACGCTCGAATCGTACGCTCACCGAATCCGAATGGAGGAAAAAAAGCGGTTGCGCTTCACCGCGGATGAGAAAACCGCGGTAACAGTTACTTTGCGAGATAGGTCCATCAAGTTCGTGAATCCTACCGAACAATCTCCACAAAGTTTTTCGATTTCACCATGAAAAGTTTCGGCTTTATGTACACAAGTTAGGCACTACATAGGTCTCCGCACATGGAGCACAATAGTAGCAATTCATGCGCGTTTGTTGACAGAGGTTCGCGGCGGCGGAGCCGATGCTGTCCCGAATGAACGCGTTCGCCAGCGGTAAGTTCGATTTCACCGTCAGACTGGAAATTGATTCGATGAGAGCAAAACAATAGAGACATAGATCATCCGTGCAAGGCCTAGTGACAACACGTGTCATCATAAAAAGTGTCCGAAGCAGTCCCCGACCGCCATGGTGAAAAATCGAGTTGAGCTGTGCACCGAAAGTGAGAGCCTCGCGTGCGACAAATTGCATAACTGTCACGCATGCCACACAGATCAGAATTGTGCGTTCAAGAAGAACAACGGATGCATCAATCTCATCTCGATTGAGGGTTAGCGTGAATCTCTGCCGTACACGTGTGCATGATTTTTTCCTTAGCTATTCCTGACTTCATGCTCTCGGAAGTCCACCGATCATTCCCGGATTGTTTTCAGGCAACAAGACGGCCCGGGCCGTGAGCGAGCATTTCAGAGCGGAATGCGAGAAACACTGCTCTGAAAAAACCGACTGTAAGAACTGCACCGCAAACTCGGGGTGTATGTGGTGCGCGAATCTCGGCAGGTGTCTCGAAACAAACGCATATGCGGCAATGTTTCCGGTCGGTCAGTGCACCGAATGGTCAACCAGCAAATGTGATAAGGTCTGCTGTTCCCGCATACGCTCGTGCAGCGAATGTCTCCGACATGAAAGATGCGGATGGTGCGACGATGGACGCGGCAAGTGCATGAAGAGGGCCGCCACGGGTCCCGTGCTGACCGAAAATCAAAATTTTCAATGGTTTTCGAAGAATACGACTCCGACGAGCGTCCACTTCATGGTGAAGCGGACCTGTTCTTGAGTTTCGATCAAATCGTAGACTCCTACCGTGAGTAGATATAAGAAAAGACTCTCCGTATCCCTATCTAAAGTATCCCCATCATTGTCTCCTATGGGTTTACACTCCCGGGTTTTTGATCCGTTCCCTCCCGGGAACGCACGGAGCTTCCTCTTCTGTGGATTTCTTGGTGATCGATCGTGTAGTGTAGATGCTCGAAAACTTCGTCGAAGACTCCAACCCAACGGAGCACAAGATTCTGGGACGGAGGAGACCCCACTCGGACAGTAGTGGGCGCATTGCCGAACCCGGGGTCTCTTGAAGTCCATTTGATTCGTTGAACGTTCTAGCTGGGATCTGACCGTAACCCAACCGATTCCCTCACTCGATTCCTAAGAGGCCACACAGTGCAACTCGCGGCATCGAGAGGGTTTTCGTCTCTGACAGAGGCGAAGTTCTTGAATCTTGTAGCTTACGGCCAAAGCCTCCGCGCACGACAAAAATATCACGGGCTTAGTGAGATGATCCATTAAACAAGCGACACGCAGATGTCGAGAAAGTACGCTGTGCGCGGTTTGTGGAGCGCATGTTTATGAGACGGACTGAGGCCGACTTCGCCTGGAGCCGTTGATTGAGCACGGCGCAAGACTAGTCGGCTGGTTTTCGTGAGGTTTCGGCCATAAGCGAATTCCACATGGGGGTTCCCGCCTGCTCGCGTATCGGATTACAATCGCTATCTGTTCTCGGTGAACGCTATCTGTTCTAACAAAAGTAACCGTCCTTCATTACAGGCGATCTCATAGTCGAGCACCCCGACTGCCTCAAAGAATTTCGATGGTCCCTGATGATCGAAAACTTTCCCCCCCCCCGCTAATGAACGGGAACATGGCAGTGAGTTTCAGCAAGTATACTTGACGTGTGATGATATGTGTGAAAAATTCAGCGCCTTTATCAGAGAAG